GTCTCTCTCTCTCTCTCTCTCTCTGTTCTCTCTCTCTCTCTCTCTCTCTCTCTCTCTCTCTCTTTCTCAGATGTAAGTTAGACAGGTTAGAATTAGTATATTCGCAATTGTGGCAATCACTATTATTGCAGAAATCTTGCAATTCTCAGTTTTGTACTGGGGTTTTTTTCACCATTTTCAGGTCAATAAGAAATTTCAGAAGTTGGAAGGTTACAGAAAGAAACTTGCTCATGCAGAGGCTGTATATGCTGAGTCCAAAACAGCTTCAAATCCAGAAGGGACCCGTCCCTCATGTAAAACTGGATTTCTCGGGCTTATCGGTTCCAAGGTTGACACCATTAATTTTTGCAATGAAAACATCAAGGAATTGGTTTCTGAGTTAGAGAGAGAACAAAATGGCACCATTAAAGATAAGCAACAAGCTGCTGCTTTGATAGTCTTTTGTAGCAGGCCAGCTGCTACTTTAGCCTCACAAACTGTTCACTCGCCAACTGTTGATTCTTGGACGGTTATGCCTGCTCCTGAGCCCCGACAATTGTTATGGAGTAATTTGCCAATTCCATTTTATCAGAGGCAAATTAGACAGTATATTGTCTATGGTATTGTGTTTCTCACTGTTTGCTTTTATACAATCCCCGTTGGGTTTTTCTCGGCATTCACTACTCTGGAGAATTTGAGTAAGTATCTGCCATTTTTGAAGGCAATTGTTGACCTTGTTGAGATCAAAACAGTTTTGGAAGCTTTTCTACCACAATTAGCATTGCTTGTTTTCATGGCTTTGCTCCCCATGTTTCTAATGATGCTTTCAAAGGCGGAGGGAATACCATCAGAAAGCCATGCTGTGAGGGCAGCTTCTGGGAAATACTTTTATTTCACAATCTTTACTGTGTTTATTGGGTTCACACTGGGTGGCTCATTGTTTGATAATTTGAAAAATGTTGGGAAGCATCCTGACCAAATTGTCACCATGCTTGGGGACTCAGTGCCAAAAGTTGCTATGTATTTCATCACGTTTGTCGCATTAAAGTAAGATCTCTATCCAGCTAGCTAATCTTGTATATTCTCTTCCTTTTAATTCGGTGGTACTTATTTTCTTGTTCTTTTACTGTTTCTTTCAAGTCTAGTGTAATGGTTGAAAAGATAATACCTACTCTGGCTTTTCTTTCTTAAAGTTTTATCTCTTGGGGGTTGCTAATATTTATTGAAAAAGGAAAAAATGAGAAGTTAGAAAGTTATAATACAGTCTTATTCAGTTTACATGTTGTACACTAGGTTTTAGCCATAGTTTGGTTATTTCACTTGATGGACAATCTTATTTCTTGGGTCTAATGTTTATTATGTTGGAAACATTTATTTTTGTTTCTTTAGATGATGGAAAACAAGGCACTCATTGAGATATTTATGTTGTTCATTACATACTTTTCCTGCATCGGTAGATTTGATGCCTTCCAGTGTGGTGTCAATTTAGTTTACAGTGGTGTAGGATACTAGTTTTCAATCTCGTTTCATATATAATTTAATGTTGGAAACATTTCTTTTTGTTTTTTTAGATGATGGAAAACAACGCACTCATTGAGATTTTTATGTTGTTCATTACATGCTTTTCCTGTATTGGTAGATTTGATGCCTTCTAGTGTGGTGTCAGTTTAGTTTACAGTGGTGTAGGATACTAGTTTTCAATCTCGTTTCATATATAATTTGATGTATCCCATTTGAGAGCCAAACTATTCATGTTGCTTTTCTTTGTAAGCTCATTTGGACTCTTAATAATATGAGTACTTTAAGGGGGAAATAAGATTGTCTAAAATGCTAATGGTAGTTGGCGGGGAACTTCATTAAGTTACTAGTAACTAATGTAAATGGTCCAGGATATTGACACCGGGGTTTTTTATGTTCTCAAATTTAGATGGTACGGTGTGGATTGGGCGTTATTTCTATATTTTTAGCAGGTTATCACCAATGAGTGCCTGCATTTTATTCTGTAATCTGAGATGGGCAAATGCATTAGAAATGAAAATAGTTATCTGATAAAGCATGACCTCATTCTGTATTATCTTCTTTTACCATTGTTTTTTGTGATTTACATTCATTAAGAGTGTTTCAAATTACTTCTTATTTGCTATGTAAAATTGGAGGGGATATTGAATTGGGATCTATAATTTCATGGGATTTGGGACCCATGATACATTGTGTCATCTCCATCCAGTAAAATGATGGAGAATAACAGGGACAGGGAGTGTGACCTGCGATTAGGGTCATTTCCAATTTGAATTGGTCTTTCCCTCCTCCATTATCATCCATCATTTCATTGGATGGTGGTGACCCCCCCAGTGAATGGAGTTTGGATTTCTCCTTAGGCCATTGAGCTACGGTATGGTATCCATTTGAAGTTGGTCTTACTAATAGTCTGTCACTTGATACTTATATTCAGCTAACCATCAGATTTAGCGAACAAACTAATGAATATTCTCTGATGTTTCACTAATTTCAGGTATTTCTTGTAACTGGATTTCAGGTTTTTTGTTGGCTATGGCCTCGAGCTGTCCCGTTTGGTTCCTCTGATAATATACCATCTTAAAAGGAAGTACCTTTGCAAAACTGAAGAGGAACTAAAGGAAGCTTGGGCTCCAGGATCAATGGGCTATGCTACAAGAGTTCCTAATGACATGCTCATCGTAACTCTTTCACTCTGCTACTCTGTCATTTCTCCCCTTATCATCCCATTTGGTGTGCTATACTTTGGTTTTGGATGGCTCGTGCTTCGTAACCAGGTATGAGACACATTCTCTCCAATTTTCTATCTATATCAAATACGTTGAATCTGTTACATACCAAACTTACAAATATATTAGTAAGTTGATACAGAGGCCCTGTGGTTTTTGTGTGGATGGGTTTGGAGAGAGAAGAGAGAGAGAGAGATTAGTAAGTTGATACAGAGGCCCTGTGGTTTTTGTGTGGGTGGGTGTGGAGAGAGAGAGAGAGAGAGAGAGAGAGAGAGAGAGAGAGTAGTAGTTAGTTAGTAGTACGAGACGGTCCGTGGTTGGTTGGTGGTGGGTGGTGGTAGGAGAGAGAGAGAGAGAGAGAGAGAGAGAGAGAGTAGTAGTGTGTTGGT